GTGTGACTCAGGATATGATCGTTAAGCAGCGCCAATTACCACTACACCACTCCCGCCCGACGTACTAGAAAGGGAAAAAATGAGTTACGCTTACCTTTTCATACAGTAATGGATCGATAAGTTTCAACTCTCGCAAGGCTTTTCTTTGGGCTCTGAGGGCTTCCCGAACCCATGTGTCGTCCATCTTTTGCAGCACGTTGCGACTACGAGTGTACTGCTGGAAACAACATTGTGGAATGGAAAAGCGGAATTAAAATAAAAATAAATTAAAATAAATGACGAAAACAAATAGTAGTAAATTCCTATTAGACTTCATTATGAATGCAGATAAAGGAACACTTGAAAATCGCTGGCCTCGTACAAGCAGTAAGTCCAATAATGACAGCACAATCATATCGATATCCCCTCCCCACTTTCTGAGATGAAGCATCAGCATCCATAGCTCCCTTCCAGAGGTGACAAACATTACAGTTTTATTCGAATGTAAGTAATATTTGTGCCATATGATCCGTACAGTGACTTGCGAGGGCTAGTCTATACACATCTTGGCGTTTTCATCTTCTCAGACAAGTCTGTACCAATTGGCTAGAGGGTGAAAGGCTTGGTTGGTATAGACGAAGTTCTATCCGGCATTTGCCCCCCGAAACATGCGCCTGTTGCCACTACACCACCTCCGTCCAAACACGCACTCAACACTCGGTAATAATTAGCACTGAACAATTTCGTAGAATAGACAGCTAGCACCGCATAAGGTAACTAGTTCAGTAAATTTCGAATAGAAAGAGGCTATGATCTCAGCACATCATGGTATGAGATATTGAAATAACGTGTGTTACCCTCCGCATCCGTTTTGATAGTGCTCCAGTGGTTTATTAGTGTGGGATCCAGAAGAAAATGATCGAATTACGGTAGTGCAAGCCATCAATCTAACGGACTGATGTCAATGTCAAGAATCAAAATTGACAACCAGAAACGAAATAACGGAAGGCGTATCACGGAATCCGCATCATGAACCAATATCAAATCAACGTTTAGGAAGGGGTAGAGAAAATTTACTTTTGGTGGGTCCGCTTGACGACTAGCCCAGTCGGAATAGGGCTTTGAATTAAAAGTCATCTCAGGCAGTGCGACAACACGTGGTTGGGAATCGCCCCAAAAACAGCGTTCATATTGACGAACGCCGTCATGGGTCTAATAAGGACTGTAGATGGGGCCTAGGTGTAAAATGCTGTCAAGAAGGTTCCTACTAAAACGCCAAAGTTTCCACCTGAAACTTAGGTCAAGAACGACGATGGATACTCCTGAGTTTCATGACAGAAAAAAGAAGAGAAGGTTATGAGTGAAGGACCTAATGCAACAAAAATATCAGAGGTAAACGAACCTTAAAGGAAACTGCTCTATCATCTATCTGATCCTCAGTCAAAACTGTCGGTTCACGGTATCGCTCACTGAAATCAACCGATTGTGAAAAAAAAATTTTAAGCACTCTATACGAAATTCTGTGCTCTTGCATACAGGCAGTATTTAATCTTTTGGTTCTACTATCGTACTGCCTTCAAAATGAGAGATAAATCGACTTCTAAGAGAGAACACATGTAACAAGGATACAAAACTGAACAGAACTTCTTGTAAAAATAGGGTGCTGGTTCGGAATTCTATATACAGCCAGCACTCTAATCACTACGAAACGCTTCCATGAAAGTCGGACCTCGAACTAACCACTGACCACTAGGGCTTCCTAAAACTAAAACTACCATGAGACCTTTAATAAGTTTTCTAGAGAACAAGAAATTGTGAGGAGCTCGCACGAAGAGTGACAGACCCATGGGATAACGGCAGGTGTTTTGGAGGTAATAGATATTACCAAGCTTCTAGAAAACTTCAGAGCATACAAGCAGGAACTCAGTTAGACTACTTGGAAGGCTCCAAGCAAGAAATGTTGGAGTGAGGCTCTAGATAACAATGAGAGTAACGAGGCATATTGAAAGTTGACAGGAATTCGTTGATAGACAATTACCCTATATTCTTTGCAGACTTGACATCCAATGTCAGCTCATCAACCGGCTTTCGGCTTCTTGCTGTGCTTCTGCATTTGCCTGATTTCCTTCTCAAGCTTTTTCCTCCTACGAACTTCTCGTTGCTTCGCAACCTAAACAACACAATGGTTTGCTGGAGAGAAGAAAAATTACCACAGCCTTCAGACGGCGACGAATTTTGAATGATTCTAAAAAGAACAAATTGCAACCTTATTTTACAGAAGCTGATAAAGGCGGACTAAAAGCTGATTATGGTCAAGAAATGGCTTACCAACAACACTGCGCTATTAAGATTAAGAGGCTAGATAGGGCAGACCCTGCATAGCGCAGTTCGTGAATGTCTTATCGAGCCCCTTAATCTGCGTTTCTGGCAATTAACAAAGGACTTTGGAGCCTCATCAACCTGTTCATCCCATATTTCCAAAAAATAGATGTAAATAGGTTCTGCAACGTACGAAAAAATAATGCCCAGAGCAAGGACAAAGCGGCTGTAGCTGATCTAAAAACGGTATATTTCGACGAATTGTTACTCAAAGATGAGTACGTGCACCTCATGCTTTTTTTCTCTGTTACCGAGTTACTGCTCTTCTATAATTTTGGTATTCCTTATGATTCATACCTATTCATTGTCTTTCCATAAAAGTAAGGCAGCAGATCGCACCCATATTTTTTTGCTTAGCAAGCACAAAACTTCAGTCTCAACTCCTCAGTTATGGCGTTCCATCTAGGGTCAACCGATCCCCCCTCCCCAACATTCAACATACGGCCCATGATATACCCCTCCACTCGACGCTGTTTTGGAGGGAAAGTGGGCGGAGTTGGGCTGTGTCGACTGGTCTCAGAATCAAATACTATAGAAACACCCATGATGGCGAGGGTGGTGGTCGGGTAGGGAGGAGGGTGGTCGTATTGGGGAGCCTCCTGAGTCTCATGGTGGTGGTGGGGGTCGCATCGAGACCCCCTAAAGGAGAGGGTCGCGAAATTATCTGAAAAGTGCGAACGTCACGGTTGACCCTGGTTCCATCAGTTCCATCCCCAAACAATGAAAAAGTCCTTTACCGTTCATTTTGCCTCCTGCCTATTCATATCCTTTTTTCACACATGCGCA